GTGCGCCATGTTGACCAATGAGAGATTTTATAAAATGCAGGATACGTAAAGTTTGAGGATTATATATAGTTTAAAACAAAAGTATTTATTTATTATCCATAATATTATTTAGTTTTATTTTGCTTATAAAAATAAATTATTAAACTTTGGAAAACAACTAAAAAAACAAAGTAAATAAACAATGAAGGGTAAGTAACAAATATTATCTTTCGTTTGTTTTCAAATTAATAAATATTTATTAGTAATATTTGAATAATGTTGCTAGATTTATTTTTATAAACGTATATATATTGTTTCAATATTTTCTTCGATAACATATTTTTATTTATATATTTATCCTGAGAAATTCATTTTTATTACAAATATAAATAATGAAAAGGTAATTTTAAAATTAATAACATTTTCTTAAAGAATCCAAACGCATACATTTTTAAACTTAGAATTTTCAAACTATATTAAAACAAAGAGTACTTATTTGAGTCACTTTAATTTACTCAAACGAATTTATTTAAGTTCAAAAAAGAGAGAGAGAGATGAAAAGGCAAATAATTGGCGAAATTACCAAAATTTTAAATAATCTTTTAAAAAGTGTTAAAACGGTCTCTAAAAAAAGAAAAAAATAACAGAAATGAAATCAATAGAGAAGATAATTACAAAATTTCCCAAGACAAATATCATTTTACCCCCTGGGGATAAAAATGGCTAAAATTTAATCCAAATCTTCACAGACGAACCTGATTGGAAATATTAAAAGGCCAGTCTCTCACTTTGGCATTTTTTATCAGGATGCGTGTCACTTTGAAAAATCGAAAGAAAAAAAAACAATCCCTTTGAGCTTTTTATCTTTAATTTTTAAAATGACACACTATTTTATTTATTTATCAAAGCGAAATTGAAAAAATGACAAGAGGGGATTTAAAAATATTATATCTAAATGACATTTTTTTCTTAATTTTATAAAATAATATTTAAAACACTGCGTCAAGTTTTTGAATAGATTCTATGACATCATATTAACATTTGATTAAAATTCATTCTTGATAAAACTAGAATAATTCAATTTTAAATTATAAAAAATATACCTTTCCATTTTAAAATATAAAAATAATGAAGCTATTCCTATTAGCATTTGAATATATTTTATTATTTTTATATATTTTAAATTTCTTATTTATAAATTTTATAAATATTATAAATAGAGAAAATTTTATTTTTAAAATATATAAAAATTATGTGTGAAAAAAATAATCTTGAAGTAACATTTGAATATATTTTATCAATTTCGTTTTTTTTTTAAATATAGAGAGGTCTTATTTATAATTTTATGGAAATATATTTAGAAGAAATTGATACGAAGTAACATTTCTGCCCAATAAAACATTCTCGTCTGTCAAATCCAAAGCAGAAGAGTCTCGAGGGATTTTCCGTGGCGGGAAAACTAATGAGGGCTGTTCGTCTGCCTGGAAATACGCCGTATTCCTTTAATTTGTATCCCATTTCATCTCTCCCGGCGCATTATTGAAATGTCTTTCACTGGTCACTTCCTCATATTGCCCACTCTTGGAGTATTATTATTTTATTTATTACACTGGCAATTGTGACCCTTCTACAACTGATCTAGAACTACATCCTAGAACTAGTCTTTTCAAAATTTAATATATATTAAATTTATAATGTAATATACGTTTTAAATATGTTCTATTAGAGAAATATTTTACTCTATATATCTATACTATAGCTGACTTGTCTTCTGTTTCTATCACCAAACTCACTGCAATGTAACTTGTGCTATATTGTAATAAAGTGTTTTACTTACATACACACATATATAATATCTCCATACTTATTATAATTATTTGATATTAGTATTCGTGATTTAAGATGAAAGAGGTGATAAAATTATAAAACATTTTGAAGCTTAGCTAGTATATAATTAATGTTTCTTTGAAATTAGCTTGTAGAATAGCGATTTTTTTACTTGAAAAATTCCATTTACAATAAAAAAGGATAATTCATTATGAGGAATAATATTTTAACCTTTTTAAATATAATATAATATTATTATTTATAATATTAAAAAAAATTAATTTGGTACACAGAGATCGTTAAATAAAGTTATCAAAACAGACGAAATATCTAAAAAATTAAGAACCATAAAAAGAAATCTGTTAGTATATTATATACATATAAATAGAGAGATAATATTATATAAATACTATTTTTGAAATAGATTAATAAATACTCTGATAATAAATAGAAAGATATAAAAATGAGAAGTAGAATAATTATTAATTAATTCTAATTAGTAATATTTAAAAAATAAAAATAGGCTTGTCAAATGAAGAAAATATATTTTTAGCCTATATAAATATATATATAGAACATTACGTGGATACCTTATTATATTAGCAGAAGATAGGTAAAAACTGTAACGGAAAAAGTATGATGATTATTTATTTGGTTAACCCAGGTTTCTGGATCGTCTGATGCTTATTTTTTCAGATAGAAAAATATAAGAATATATACAAGATAGAATATCAGATAGAATATTAAGAATCTAGGTGATATTAAAAAACAGATATTTTAAAATAATGATAATTAATATAAATAATGCTAATTAAAACTTATAAATTGAAAATTAAACCTAATTTCTAATGATATTTTATAATTTAAATGGGTTTGTTCAATGAAGCGGAAACAAAGGAAAATTTAGAAAAGAAAGAAAAAAATATATAATTGAAAATAATTTTGTTGTAATGAATATAGATACTTTATTTTGTCCCATCAAGTCTGACGTTGTTATTTTTGTTCAGTGATTTATAAATTAATATCATTATTGGAAATATAATTTTGATTATTTCCGTTGGTATACATTTTGGCAGATTCGTATTTTTAAATTTTTTTTTTTATTGTCGCTATTTGACAACGCCATTGTGAATCTCTGTTTTGTAACATTCGAACGGGGATGGACGTAATTTGGCAGAAGTCACTGACGAGCACACTGTTGGATCACTATCTACATGGGAGAGAATAAATAAATACATTCATAGATAAAACTTAAGGAAGTGGAAAGTCTTTGATGTCGACGGTCGTCTGTTTTTTTTTTTAATGAGACAGAGGCAATTTTGTTCACACTTGGTTATCTCGTGTGTCTTCAATAAAGGTCACTGTAATATCTTTCAGAGTTATTGTCTGAATCCCGATATACATGCTGAAAGGTACAACTTCCTTAAGTTTTGACCATGAGTGTATATATATGTGTCTTCAATAAAGGTCACTGTAATATCTTTCAGAGTTATTGTCTGAATCCCGATATACATGGTAAAAGGTACAACTTCCTTAAGTTTTGTCCATGAGTGTATATATATGTGTCTTCAATAAAGGTCACTGTAATATCTTTCAGAGTTATTATCCCGATATACATGGTAAAAGTTACAACTTCGTTGAGTGTTGTCCATGAGTGTTCACTAAAGTAAAATGTTATTTCTTTGTTGAAAAATTAAAAATATATTTTCATAGCGCTACTTTTATTTTTAAATAAATAATTAAAGCCTATTTATACATGTGTATAGCTCTCATACTGCAATGAATAAAAATTGAAAGAGGGAGGGTATGGCTCATCACTGGTGAACCCTCATAGAGGTTTCGTATTGGACTGAATTTCTTCTATAGCCATCAGAGATGTTGTGGTCCAGGGATTGCCTACTGTAGCTCCTCCTTCCCTCCTTTCTTATCTCCACTCAATCATATTAGGGTATCAAGCTTGTAGAGCTTAAGACTTGACCACCATCATGACTGGGTGAAGTAGAATGCCTTTGTCACTAAGACTAGGAGCACTACTCAGTGGCAGGCCGACTTAGCTCCAAAATAAATGACCGCCTCTGACATGAGGAACAGCCACCATGTGAGCCGCTTCTAACATGAAGTAAAGACTCATCCTGTATCCCTGGATTAGGAGTCCTTACAGGGTACTATCAGCTGGGCCAGCTGAACCCAGGTTTTTTAGTGAGCTTGTTACTGCTCCCTCTCCTCCTTTTTTATTATTTCAAAATTGAAATTTATTGAAAAATGTCCTCTGTTAAATCGACCGCCAGAGGTCACGCTATAAAAACTCATTGTTGTTGTTTCCCGATGGCCGGCTCAAACCGTTTGTAAATTATGTAAATAAGTTTTTTATTTTTTTATTCTTACGTCTTAATCCAGGCAGTACATTTATCAAATTATGTTTTTTTTATATATTTTCCATACGTTCAATTGAATCAATTACTGTTAAAAACTATTTTTATTATTATACTTTCAAGATTTTAGCCACGACTGCATCACCAATACCATTTATTACTAAAAAGAACCAGCAAATAATTACATAGCATAATCCTCAAGATAACCAAAATCAGCAGAAATTATTTTATTCCTAATATACATATACCAGCAAAACGTACAATATATCATTTGGAACGTTATTTATACAGAATCATTGTTTATTTCTCCAGTATCTGAGTTCTGATGGAACACAAACGTACGACGTGGAATACGATCTGTTTAAATCATGTGTTCCCCGACCGTGGTACTCTGGGAGGTCAAGATAAAGGATTTATTGTCAGCATTCGTCATCTCTTGGTGACATTTCCCATTTGTATTTATGGTCGGACAACAGAATGGACTTCATTTATAAGATTCAGAAATAGTTGGCGACACAGACATATCTATAAATCTTTGATTAAAAAGACATATTTTGGATCAAAATATCATTTATTTTACCAATATTTCAGTTGGCTGAATGCCAACCTTTATCAAGGTAACATTTTAATGTGTGTCAACAATAAACACAGCGCCATATAACGTTGTTGTTGACACACATTAATATAAACAATACTTAAAGTTATACCGCATAAGTTTCTTTTCTGTGAAATCACAGAATTTATAATTTATAATCACACGCCGCAGTCCTTTATAATGTATTATAAGTTACTTTAAGTATTATTTACGAACGGAGAAATACGTCCAGGGAAGCCTAGTGGACATGGCACCTGCCCGGTAAGCAGAAGGTTGTGGGTTCGATTCCCGCCCCTGGACACTTTTATTTTTCCCGTTCGCCATAACTCTTCAAATTTTCACCCTTTCATACTTCATTCAAAAAAGTTAGAAATAGTAAATATTTCTCTTTGAAATAAATATTGATTTTTCACAGAAAAGAAACTTATGCGGTATAACTTTAAGTATTGTTTATAATCACACGCCGCAGTCCTTTATAACACATTAATATGTTACCTTGATAACGGTTGGCGTTCAGCCAACTGAAATATTGATAAAATAAATGATATTTTGATCCAATATATGCCTTTTTGTTTAAAGATTTATTTATGGATTGCTCTATTTTCAAAGACATTTCTATGGTTGAACTGCAGCAGTCTGACATCTCTTTCTATGTGTGTCGGGAAGACTTGATAATTTATCCATAGAAACATAGGGCGCCTCTCCCGTCAAAATAAACGTCAAAAACCTGACGCCATCTGGTGTTGTGGCTTTGTCACCGACCCGAGGCCGCTAGTTGCGGCGAAGGTCAATAGATGGCGTCAGGTTTTCGACGTTTATTTTGACGGGAGAGGCGCCCTATGGTTCTATGGATCAATTTCCTCCCGGAAAATTTTCCTTCTATAATGATAATTTGTGTTATGGATGTGAGGCAGGTGTTTTCTTGTGGTTTGAGAGTGTGTTTGGGATGTTTCCTTGGTGTGAAACTTATCTAGTTTATTTGCACGAGAGAAAGTAAAATTTGAACGTCCGCTGTATGCTAAGAAGACGCCAGGGTGTGATGTCAGACCATATTGGCGAGCGGTGATGGATATGCCATCCAATCTGGCACCACTGACATCCCTTTATTGAAACTCGTCTCGCTCCATTTGGGTTGGATTTATCGTCTGTGCCTAGAATTGTTTGGCAGCCGAATATTGTGTCACATGTGCGTGTACTCTCTCTGTCGGATGGATTCAGGAATTCCCTCACTCACATAGATGACATTATAGCAAATAAGATACACATATCGTATTTGCATATCTATGTAAAAGAAATGACTGTTGTGTGCGTGTGTTTGTCCAATTTTGTATTCACATGGATGAAGTTTCACATCAGGATATAGATGTATGTGTGTGTGGAGGCAAAGTTATGATACCGAAATATGCAAAATAGTTTGATTAGCTTGTTATTAATTGCATAATTTAACATTTGATTATAATCAAATAAAAGAAAACAAGACCTAATCCAAATAATTTATTAGTGTGTGACGTTTTGGCAACAACATTGTCACCATCATCAGACAAAAGAATAAAAAAAAAAATTTTTTTTTTTTTTTATTCTTTTGTCTGATGATGGTGACAATGTTGTTGCCGAAACGTCACACACTAATAAATTATTTGGATTAGGTCTTGTTTTCTTTTATTATAATCTATAATCCAAATTGTGCTTTATCATTATAATCAAATGTTAAATTATAACTATAATTATAGGCCGATTCTCGATCGGTTCCCGCACTGGGCCATTCTTTCTGAGTAAACAAATGCTTCACTATTCCTGCTGAAGTCTAAGTAAGTGCAAGCAACCAAACGGGGCTCTGGCACAATTGTACGTGCAAAGGTCGAACTACTTTCTACATGTTTAGCTATGCTGTGTATACATAGGGGTGAAAAAAGTCTCTAACTATCCACTATGATTATCATGTCCTGAACTGTTGTTCATTTTCGATTGAAGAGTTGGAGCATTTCGATATAAAATATATTTATATACTTAGCACAACATTATAAAAGTAAGAAATGATTAAATGCAAAAGATTATATATCTAAATACAAAAGGTTATTTAAAAATTAAAGATCATCCTTTGTTCTTCATGTCAAAACATTCTTCTTTGTTCTTCATGATTTTTATTGATATTCCTTTTTTCACAGACATTATACCTTCATGAACCACGTCTACTATATAGGAAATAATATAAAATTTATATAAATATTATTATTTTCTCTCCTTTATTTATATCATGTATTCCATCTTTGTTACTATATTTTTCCTTTTGTCCAACCCACAGAAGTCACAACGGCTCCAATAAAGGCATTGTTTATCTAACAACGTGGAAGTCGGTAATGATGTAAGCAGATTCAGTGGTGCGAGCAACAAATCGAACCAAAAGATTTTAAAATTACAGACGCCAAGAAATAACTCCGTTATCGTATGATGGGGAAATAAATATATCGGGGGCCATCAATTTCCGGCATCGTTTGGCCTATAATTTGGAGGGGAGCAGACGACCGAGGAATATACGAGCAGAAGATCGGTCGCTGTCAGCCGAGCACGCTATCGTCTGACAGTGTTAAATTGGTATCGAATAGGTCCGTTTGGCTTTTACAGTAATTCCTAATATGGAAATGGAGAATCTGGGAGTTCTCCCATGTGCGAGAGATCAATTTCAATTTGCATACCCGGGAGCAAATCTATTGCGGCCGTATTTACACATAGCTGCGGTAAACACACGCAAGACACTTCCGTTCGCACTCTCGTTAAATTGTCTCAGTTCCGCTGGGGAACCTTTCCGTATGTCTCAAAATAACTTTATTTTCTACAATTTATGAAAATTTCAATTTAAAAAAAATGAAAAGTTTTCAAGTTTATATTTTAAATTTAATTGTATATACTGATGTGAAAAAGCGGTATGGTGGATTAAATTGGTGAAACCGCTGGGAGGGTTCACCACTGATGAGCCAAGCCTTCCCAATTATCTGACATCACAGTAAAGACAGTAAAAAGTTTGTTTTATTAAAAAAAACATGATAAATAATTGTTTTTGTTGTGTATAGATGGCGCGGTATTGCCTAATCTTAAAAAACAATGAATAAAGATATTAATTATAAGAGACAAAACAAACGCGACATCTATTACATAAGAAATAAAATTCACGAATGTTTTTTTTTACAAATAAATAGGGAATATCAAAATAATGAGGAGATAAACAAATTTATCCCAAACATAGGCCAAAACAGGCTAAAGAGACTGAAGATGGCTGTTGTTGAGTAAATATGAAGATAAAGTCCAAACATTCCCCAGGATGTATTCCCCGGAGAGATCCCGCAGACAGACAGAGGTACCACCTACCTGGCCGCAGTTGCCATCCCGGGTTGCCAGATTGAGAGGTAAAAACCTTTTTCCTCTAAATGATTCCAATTGATTTCCAACTCTGTGATCCGTCCATTTAAATTATCTTCCACACGTTGGGCCAGTAATTACCTTTCGAACGCTCGGCATTCCTCTAGCTACACTGTCCTGTGTGCACTTCTAGCTACACTGTCCTGTGTGCAATTCTAGCTACACTGTCCTGTGTGCACTTCTAGCTACACTGTCCTGTGTGTACCTCTAGCTACACTGTCCTGTGTGTGCCTCTAGCTACACTGTCCTGTGTGTGCACTTCTAGCTACACTGTCCTGTGTGCACTTCTAGCTACACTGTCCTGTGTGTGCTTCTAGCTACACTGTCCTGTGTGTACTTCTATAGCTACACTGTCCTGTGTGTACTTCTAGCTACACTGTCCTGTGTGTACTTCTAGCTACACTGTCCTGTGTGTACTTCTAGCTACACTGTCCTGTGTGTACTTCTATAGCTACACTCTCCTGTGTGTACTTCTAGCTACACTGTCCTGTGTGTACTTCTATCTACACTGTCCTGGGTGTACTTCTAGCTACACTGTCCTGTGTGTACTTCTAGCTACACTGTCCTGTGTGCACTTCTAACTACACTGTCCTGTGTGTACTTCTAGCTACACTGTCCTGTGTGCACTTCTAACTACACTGTCCTGTGTGTACCTCTAGCTACACTGTCCTGTGTGCACTTCTAGCTACACTGTCCTGTGTGTACTTCTATAACTACACTGTCCTGTGTGCACTTCTATAACTACACTGTCCTGTGTGTACTTCTAGCTACACTGTCCTGTGTGTACTTCTATAACTACACTGTCCTGTGTGTACTTCTAGCTACACTGTCCTGTGTGCACTTCTATAACTACACTGTCCTGTGTGCACTTCTAACTACACTGTCCTGTGTGTACTTCTAACTACACTGTCCTGTGTGTACTTCTATCTACACTGTCCTGTGTGTACTTCTAACTACACTGTCCTGTGTGTACTTCTATCTACACTGTCCTGTGTGTACTTCTAGCTACACTGTCCTGTGTGTACTTCTAACTACACTGTCCTGTGTGTACTTCTAACTACACTGTCCTGTGTGTACTTCTATCTACACTGTCCTGTGTGCACTTCTAACTACACTGTCCTGTGTGTACCTCTAGCTACACTGTCCTGTGTGCACTTCTAACTACACTGTCCTGTGTGTACTTCTAACTACACTGTCCTGTGTGTACTTCTATCTACACTGTCCTGTGTGTACTTCTAACTACACTGTCCTGTGTGTACTTCTAACTACACTGTCCTGTGTGTACTTCTAACTACACTGTCCTGTGTGTACTTCTATCTACACTGTCCTGTGTGCACTTCTAACTACACTGTCCTGTGTGTACCTCTAGCTACACTGTCCTGTGTGCACTTCTAACTACACTGTCCTGTGTGTACTTCTATCTACACTGTCCTGTGTGCACTTCTAGCTACACTGTCCTGTGTGCACTTCTAACTACACTGTCCTGTGTGTACTTCTATCTACACTGTCCTGTGTGTACTTCTAACTACACTGTCCTGTGTGTACTTCTATCTACACTGTCTTGTGTGCACTTCTAGCTACACTGTCCTGTGTGTACTTCTAACTACACTGTCCTGTGTGTACCTCTAGCTACACTGTCCTGTGTGCACTTCTAACTACACTGTCCTGTGTGTACCTCTAGCTACACTGTCCTGTGTGTACTTCTAGCTACACTGTCCTGTGTGTACTTCTATCTACACTGTCCTGTGTGTACTTCTAGCTACACTGTCCTGTGTGTACTTCTAACTACACTGTCCTGTGTGTACTTCTAGCTACACTGTCCTGTGTGTACTTCTAACTACACTGTCCTGTGTGTACTTCTAGCTACACTGTCCTGTGTGTACTTC